GAGATGAGAGAGATAGAAGGAGGAGAGAGAGAGAAAGAGAGAAGTAGGAGAGAGAGAGAGAGAGAAGTAGGAGAGAGAGAGAGAGAGAGAGGAAGAGGAAGAGGAGAGAGAGAGAGAGAGAGAGAGAGAGGAAGAGGAGAGAGAGAGAGAGAGAGAGAGAGAGAGAGAGAGAGAGAGAGAGAGAGAGAGAGAGAGAGAGAGAGAGAGAGAGAGAGAGAGAAGAGGAGGAGAGAGAGAGAGAGAGAGAGGAGGAGAGGAGAGAGAGAGAGAGAGGAGGAGAGAGAGAGAGAGAGAGAAGAGGAGGAGGAGAGAGAGAGAGAGAGAAGAGGAGGAGAGAGAGAGAGAGAGAGAGAAGAGGAGGAGAGAGAGAGAGAGAGAGAAGAGGAGGAGAGAGAGAGAGAGAGAGAAGAGGAGGAGAGAGAGAGAGAGAGAGAGAGGAGGAGAGAGAGAGAGAGAGAGAAGAGGAGGGAGAGAGAGAGAGAGAGAGAAGAGGAGGAGAGAGAGAGAGAGGAGAAAGGGAGAGGAGAGAGAGAGAGGAGGGAAAGAGAGAGACAGAAGAAGGAGAGATAGAGAGAGAGAAAGAGAACGAGAAAGAGAAAAAGAGAGAGAGAGAGAAGATAGAAAGAGATTAGAAGAGAGAGAGAGAGAGAAAATCTTTTTTCTTCTGTCATCTTCTGTATTTCTTTTAAATTGATGTCAGCTTGATGCTTTCCTCATGCATTAGGCATGCACATATTGCATTTCAATATGAAGATTTATAATTTATTCCCACTGTTCCCTTTACAGTCATGGGAGTTTTAAAATATTAGTTACATTGAATATGATGTCAGCTTGGTATTGATAAACTTGAATGCATATTTTTGTTGCTTATTTAATACTAATGTGATTGCTTTGCACTCAGAAATAAGATAATAATAACAACTATCCATACATCTTCATGTTATATTTGCTCCATGTTAGAAAAAGACATTTCTAACTACTTTAAATTTTTTTCCCTTTTTTCATTAATTTTCAATACAGATGGTCCATAACAGGCTTATTGAAAAGGAAGTTTTGGAGCTAATCTTGGATCTGACAAGCCGCTGCCGAGATTACTTGGAGCGCTATTTTAATCTCTTGACTCCTCTTTATTTTTCCTTTACGCATTTGGTGTGTCGTACAGCTAAGCCAGGTAAAACATTCATACTTTCTCTATTTTTTGCTGTTATTATTTTTAATTAATTATTTTTTTTTTATATAGACATATATATATAATGATTATAGGAATGTAACTATTTTTTTTTTTCCAAAAGCTCAATCTGGATTCTCTGTATCTCTCTAAATAGTTTTGATATTTTCCTCTCAGTTATCTTTCCTTTTTCTTTTCTTTTCATTTTTTTTTTTCTTAAATAGAAAAAGCTGCAAATAGATCATCATTAGACATGAGCCATGAAGTTCATGTTGATAACTGTATCTTGCAAAATGATGGAAATTGCCTTCGAGTTCCTCCTGCTTATGTCTTCAGAGATTACAGGTGAGTCTCTATTATATTATGATCATTCACTTCAGGAGTTAGGTATTTTTTTATATTTCCTTAGACTTAATGGGATAATACTGCAGTTTGCAAATTCTTTTAATCTTATTGACATATTTAACTTTCAGTGCCATTTTGTACCTGAACCAAGAATTTGAGGGCGGGGAGTTCATATTCACACACGACCAAACAGGATCCTCATATGAAGTAAGTTCAGCTTGCAATGTGGTGTGTAACTGACCATAACAAGCATACTGCAGCTCCTTAAAGAAAGTTATAATGGAATTTTAAAGTACATGAAAGAAAAGGATATTTCAAATTATATTGACAAGATTATAAAGAATCAACTGTATCATTACTTTAACTTCTTACAGAGCATAATCAAACCCAAGTGTGGACGAATGGTTGGATTTTCAGCAGGTCCTAAAAACCCACATGGGGTCCTACCAGTCCACAAAGGAAGCCGATGCGCCATTGGCATGTGGTTCACTCATGACAAACGGTTCAAGGAAGTTGAGCGCACAATGGCCGAGACGCTGTTGCGGAAATTGCAAAATGGGGAAATGTGATGCAAACACGAGTAGAGATTTTGTTGTACTTAAAAGGTTCCCGTAGATATTACTGTTATTTTTTATATGATGATTATTTATTACTAATGATGTAATTACATTTTATTTTTTATTCTTTATTCTATTATGCATGTGATAAAGTATTCACAATATTTTTATTTATTATTTTTTTTCTTCTTATGATATACCACACTCTTTTAAGACAATTTGTCAGAAGGAATTAATGTGGGCAAAACCTTTGTAAAATTATAAGAGGAAAATCAGACTGAAAATTTGTTATAAATATAGTAAATGTAAATTTTTTAACATTGATAAAGATATATTATTATTAACAACTTGCCAAAGAAATTTTTAAAAAATCATTAAGAAACTGAATTATAAAAAGCCTTTCCCCACATTAATTTCCTTTTAAGATTTA